GGAGGCAAGGATTCTGAGGCTCCGTCTAACATACTTTGGACATCTTGTGAGGAGAGACCGGTACTTCGAGAAGGACATCATGCTTGGGAGGGTGGTGGGACAGCGCAGGAGGGGAAGGCCCTCTATGAGGTGGATTGATTCAGTGACTGGGATAATTGACATGGGAGTGTCAGAGACAGTGCAATTGACACAGGACAGAGCAGAGTTTAGGGCTGTTGTACATAGGGTCTCTATGAGTCGCAAGCGACTTGACGGCACATAACAACAACAACATTGAGTACTTGGGCCAAACAACATAAAGTTAAAATTATAGTTAATTTCGGTGGCCAGAAATAGAATTGCAAATGCATGGAGCAGAGAGCTATTTTAGTATCTCTTACCTTGATTCTTTAATGTACTAACAAAATTCACAAATATGCGGCAATTCTTAGAAATAAGTTCATCCAGTTAGTACCTGGTCTTATTTCCCTAAACATGATTAAACAGTGTACCTTTTTCACTTTTTTCTTTCATGCTTAAACAAAAACACGTGTTTTATAGTCATCTTTTGAAACTGTGATTGAGTTTTATAGACATACAGATCCAGTCTCCTCTTTTTAAGAAAACAAAGAGAGCTGCTTTAATGCTGATGGAAAATTCCATCAGTTGGAAAGCTGTATATTTTTGAGATAGATTTAATAAGGCTATGCAGTGTTTTGTTCTGTGTTTTCTGTTAGTCAGATTCACTGGCATCCAACAACAATAATATTCTTCTGTAGAGAAACTTAAGATCCATTAATAGAATCAGTTCTTATTAGCAGGTATATTGCTGGACTTTAGAAATGCTTCATGGTCATCTGGTTCAGCCACAAGCGACCCAGTTCTGATGTTGATAACCTTGGCACAACAATTTGAACTCCAAGAACACACTTGACTTCAGCTAACTTTAGTCTTTGATAGCTACACAAATCCTGTATACAGGTTGATCGTATTGTTCTAAAAACTGGTTTGTTTCCTTTTTTCTTGTGCTTTGAAAACCTAAGAGAGTAATCAGTTTTTTTGGGTCAGGAACAGTGTCTAGATCATAATCATGATTTATTTTAATGTATGTTTCAGATTATTTTAAGAAATTTCTTTCTCTTATTTGCCTTAAAATTGCATTCTCTGCTCACCTGTGTTGACTGTTGAGCACCTGAAATAACGTTTGTTCATAATTAGGATACTTATTTGTAGAATATACATCTGAGCTACAAACTGGCTTCACCAATTTTATATTTTTTATTAATGTGGTCACTAGGAAATTTTAAAACTGCTGTGAAACTCAATTTCTGACTTGCATTTTGCGTAGCACGGATGGGCATCCTCCTCCAGTGCAATTAGCTGCCTCTGAAAACCCACTAGAGGATCAGCTATGGGTCAGTTCCATCTTGAGAGCACCAGAAACAACAAGACAAAATACCACATTTGTAGTTTTGAACCTGCACATAACTTACGTAGTTATAAATATCTCACTCCCATTCTTACCCCTTTTACTTTTAGCGGAATGATATTCATAGATATTAATAGATTTGTTTGTGGATTATATGTGGAAGATACTATATTTTCTTCAACATATATTTGAAAAGCTTTTAAAAATCACATTTTTAAATAAAAGTAACTAGCGTGGCTCTGTGAGGAGAAGTGTGGTATCAGGATTGAAGGAATATTCATCAACAATGTGTTAAGCAAATGACACAACCCTGCTTGATAAAACTGAGTAGGACCTGAAGCGCTTGCTGCAGAAGGTCAAGGACTGCAGCCTTCAATATGGATTGAGGCTCAATATCAAGAAAACAAAGATTCTCACCACTGGGCCAGTTGACAGTATCATTATAAATGATGAAGAGATTGAGATTATGCACAGCTTTAGTTTGCTTGGCTCCACAGTCAACCCTTTTTGCACCAGCAGCCAGGAAATTAAAAGATGTATTGTAATGGGAAAGTCTCCTGTTAGGGACCTCTCTGAAGTACTGAAGCGCAGTGATGTCAGTCTGGAGACTAAGGTGCGCCTGATACAGGCAATTACTTGCTATGCATCAGAGAACTGGACAGTGACTCGGGATGATAGAAGGAGAATTGATCCCTTTGAATTGTGGTGTTGGAAAAGAGTACTGAATGTACCATAGACTGCTAAGAAAATGAATAGGTTTGTTCTAGAGAGGGTTAAACCAGGCTGCTCCATAGAGGCAAGGATTCTGAGGCTTGGTCTGACATATTTTGGACATGTTGCAAGGAGGGACCTTGAGAGGGACGTCATGCTTGGGAGGGTGGAGGGACAGAGCAGGAGATGACGACCCTCTTTAAGGGGAATTGATTCAGTGACTGGGGTAATCGGGGTAGGTATGTTGGAGACTGAGATTAGCAAAGGATATAGAGCAGAGTTTAGGGCTGTTGTACATAGGGTTGCTATGAGTTGCAGGCGACAGGACAGCACATAACAACAACATATGTTTATTTTAGGCTTTACTTTGATATACTGATAGTGTTAGATATGTCTGGTTTTTGTTGCTGTTTCTCCAAAAGGGTGTCACCCAAGGGGATTACACTCCTATGGAAGACAGTGAGGAAACCTCGCAGTCCCTTCAAATAGATCTTGGACCCCTTCAGTCAGATCAGCAAACAACTTCTTCCCAAGATGGTCAAGGTAAAGGAGATGATGTCATTGTTATTGACAGTGATGATGAAGAAGAAGAAGATGATGAAAATGATGGAGAACATGAGGTGATTTTGGTTTTATATCTTTTTAAACTGTCAATTGTACGTGCTCAAATCCTTGAGACTATTAAAGCAGGAACCAGTCAATTCGATCTCCCTGCCAGTTGAAGAAGTTATTTTACTTTTCCTTTATCTTACCTGGTTCTCAGATTAATGTTATATATTTAAATTGAGCAAGAGATAGAAAATCCAAATTCTTTTTTTTATTTTTCTTTAACTCTCTAGGATTTGTTCTAAATTAAATGTAATTTTCAGTCTTACTGATTAATGAGTATGATTTTTAATTGTAAGCCCTGTGCCTGCTGTTAAGAAAAAGAAGAAAACATCTTTTTCCCCTCTTGGAATCTCTCCCAAATTCTTCATATCATTTCAGAAGTAATTGACATGTAACCCTCATTAAAGCAAATTTTAAATGAAATTCTTTCTATATTTCCATAACAAGTAACCTAGTATGATTTCATATATTTCTTCAGCTCTTCTTTTAATATTTAGAATTAAAGAATTACACTTGAGGTGCATTTAGGACAATTTTTGGAGAATTTTTTCTCTTATTTGTATTAGCTTGCATACAATCATTTGTATACTTCATGTTTCGTTCCTATATATTGTGCTTTTATACATTCATATACTTTTTACTTTATAACTTAATTACTGTTGATCTATGCCTGTTACTACCCTGTCTTTTCAAGTCCCCATTGAATCTCTCCTATTCCTTCATTCCCCACATCCACCTACTGTGCTGTCAGTGTTCCCTTCTTCCCTTTTTTCCAGTCCGGTTTCCCATTCCCCTCCCCCTTTTGAACATTTACACATTTCTTGTTTAGTAATCTTTCTACTTCTGCAAAGATAGTCTTATGCTGTATTTGTCCTTATGTGATGGAAAAATTTCACTCAGCATAATTCTCTGTAGACTTTATTATGTTACATAGTACTTAATCGTCATTCTTTAGTGCTACATAGTATTCTGTTTCTCACTCCATGTGTTTATTGATGTACATTTGGGCTGTTTCCATTTTCCTTCTATTGTGAATAATACTGCTATGAACATATATTTCCATTTGTGTCTCAGTTCTGATTTCCTTGGCACATATTCCTAACAGTGGAGTAGTTGAGTTGTACATCAGGAATTTCTGTGTTTTTGAGGAAACACCAGTCTGCCTTCTAGAGTGGTTATACCATTTTATAATCCCACCAGCAGTGTATAAGAGTTCTAATCTCTCTGCATCCTCCCCAGAAATTTTTGTTTGCTGTCCTGTTAAACTTTGCTACTGCTGTTAGAGACATTGTTTTGTTTTGATTTGCATCCCTTTGATTGCCAGTGATTTTGAACATTTCTTCAGGATCCACATCTCAATACCGTACAACTTAAGGTGGATCAGAGATCTGGGGGTAAAACCCAGAACAGTAAGGATCATAGACAAAATGGGACCAAACTTAGAAATCCTAGCCTGTGGAATAAGTAGGCTTGCAAATATAGCCAGAAATGCACAATTAGGAGAAAAGGGGGCCGCAGTGGGGGGTGGGACAACACAAAACTTTTACAGTAGAATGAAAAGATGTGTTTACAGAATTTTGTCAGGCCTCCACAAGGCTATTAAGTTTTACAGAATACCACAGGGCCACTTCAAGAAAAAAGACTGATAACCCAGTAACAAAATGGGCAAAAGACATGAAAAGACTCTTCACAAAGGAAAAAATTGGATGGCCAACAGAGCATTAATCTTTGAAAGCACACGTATGAACACTTAGAATTCAGATTTAATCATTGTACTAATTCTCCGTAAGTATCACAGTTTTAATATTTGATGCCGTAGAACTAATCTCATACACTCTCAGGATAACTTCTCGGTCCTCATCAATGCTCATAATGATAATGATCACATTGTTATAGGCTGTTGAATTAGAACCAGTTTATAGCTGATGCTCCAGTGGGTTTTCAGAGACTATAATTCAGGAAGAGTTTGCCCATTTTTCTCCCACTGAACAACTGGTGGAATGATGAGTCACTTAAATTTAATTATAAGTGGGGTATCAAGATATGTACAACATGTATGCCATATATGTAGATCTTTATTTATATTTCATAATTTTTCTACTAGGATTATGAGGAAGATGAGGAAGATGATGATGATGAAGATGACACAGGAATGGGAGACGAGGGTGAAGATAGTAATGAGGGAACTGGTAGTGCTGATGGCAATGATGGATATGAAGCTGATGATGCTGAGGTAATTATGGTTAGAACCTTTTCTTTTCTTTATGAACTTGCTTGACAGATTCTTACTATTTCTTAGAGAAAGGTCTGTATTCTCAGAACAGCCATGTATTGTTCCTTTGATTAACAGTAAAAGGTCTTTTACTCTTCAGTTTGGTTTGCTATGACTTATTTGGTCTAGTTTTTAAAGATGTCTTTTGCCGTATCTTTTATTCCTTAAATTTAGGGTGGTGATGGGACTGATCCTGGTACAGAAACAGAAGAAAGTATGGGTGGAACTGAAAGTAATCAGAGAGCTGCTGATTCACAGAATAGTGGTGAGGTTAATTTTAATTGTGTTTATTTACTTAATTTATCCTTTTAACATTCATTGTTTTAGTGATAGACTGTAAATCATAAAATTTGTATAATAAATTGATGAACAAATTGACTATTCCAGTTTCTACTATTTTTCTTTCATCTCTGTATTTACATTAAGCTCAGGGATACAGAACAGCAACAGTCAACCACTAAATCTTGCCTTATCCTATGCCATCCTCTTGATGAGTCCATGCTTGTTAAAATCACTTGTTAGTCTACTTAATTGACATTCCTCCTCTCTTACGCTGACCCTTTGCCTTTCACAGTATGCTTTTTCCCCCAGGACTGGCTTCTCAAAGTATATGCCCCTCTTGAACGCTTACTCTAAGTATATGGGATGAAGTTAAACCATGTTTGCCTCCAAGGAGCACTAGTTACATTTCCTCCAAAATAGATATAGTTCTTCTTTTGACAGAACATAGAATATTCAGTACTCTTTGCTAACATCACATTTCAAAGGCATTGATTCTTCGTGGGTCATCTTTATTCATTGTCAAAAGTTGGTGAATATTATAAAATCATATAATAAAAGAATAGTATTCTTAGGTTTTGAGGAAGATTAAAAAGTAAAGGGAAATCGATGCTACTTTTCATTTGGGCAATAACTTCTATTTCATAAAACATTTTATAGTTAATTTTTGTGTGCATTTGTGTCAAATAGAATATAGAGATCTGTGGGGTGTGTTGTTTTGTGTGTTTCTAGGTGCTGTCGGTAAAAGTTAAGTCTGTTGAGGGCACATATTTACAGCTGTTTTTCCTAGATACAGAGCACATAATAAGACGCTCATGAAATCCTTGTTAGAGAATTATTTCCAGGTGTTGATGGGAAGTGTCAAGAAAAGAGACCTTACTGGTCTGGATAAAATGAAATTCTAAGTGTATTTGGCATAAAACTATAGCTACCTAATGCTTCTCAAAAACTACTTATTATCTTGAATTACTTAGTTCTTAAAATAAGTTTATGAGATGTAGATACTATGATGAGATTTAACTTAGCAAGAAGGACCTGAGACACAGAAATAAAATTACTTAACCAAGGCCATAGCAATTAAGTATTTAAGCTAGTTCATAATTCCAGATGTCAAGTCTTTTTAAACTACTGAATTCCCAGTGATAGCTTTTTGAATTTTTCAGAGTGGGACATCTTCTGTTAACTTCTTCCATATGTATTCAAGACCCAGTTATGTTTTAGTAATAACACCTGCAAAGGACTGCATTTTCATTACTTTAGATATTTACTGGAGGGGCCTGCTTCATCTTTCTCTAGCTACTCTAAGGGGAAAAGCTGAGAAAGTTAACATTTAAAGTATTGTTAAGAATAAAAATTTAGGAAAAAATGAAATTTAAAAGTGTTATGGTAATACTTTCCCCTAATCTGCCTCACCTTTTTGAGTATTATAACGAAACTTCCTGGTGGTCTGACCTGATTGTCATTTGCTCATTTTCATTAAAAAAAAAAACAAAAAAAACCTATTGTTGTTAATGTGCTGTCGAATGACTTGGGACTCAGTGACCCTTTGTACACCAGCCCTAAACCTTGCTCTATCCTGTGTCGACCTCACTGTCTCCAAGACACCTATTCCTGTTACCCTCGACCCATCTCATTTAGGGTCTTCCTTTCTTGCTCCACCCTCCCAAACATGTTGTCCCTCTCCAAGGGCTGGTCCCTCCTTGTAACATACCCATAGTATGTCAGACGAAGCTTCAGTATCTTTGACTCCAAGGAGCAGCCCGTTTTCACCCTCTCTAGGACAAATCTGTCTGTTCTTCTAGCAGTCCATGGTATATTCAGAACTCTTCTCCAGCACCACAGCTTAAAGCTATCAATCTCCATCATCTCTAGTCACTGTCTAGCTCTCTGATGAATAGCACGCAATTGTGAAGACTAAGATCAGGCACACCTTAGTCTTCAGCCTGACATCATTGCACTTCAGTACTCTGGAGAGGTCTCTGACAGCTGACTTTCCCAATGCAATTTGTCTCTTGATTTCCTAGCTTCTGGTACCGAGAGTGTTGATTATAGAACCAAGCAAACTAAAACTGTTAACAATCTCAATCTCTTCACCATCCATAATGATGCTGCCAGTTGGCCCAGTGGTGAGAATCTTTGTTTTCTTAATGTTGAGCTTTAATCCATATTGAAGGCTACAGTCCTTGTCCTTTTGCAGCAAGCACTTCAGGTCCTCCAGTTTCAGCAAGTGGGGTTGTGTCATCTACATACCATTACCTACTTTATTTTTGCCTCCTTTTCGCTTTGGGCCAGGTATTTAGGTCTATTTGAAATTCTTACAAAAACTTCAGTTATAGGTGACATTTGCTGTATTATCAGTCCTAAAACTAGGCTCTAGGGGGTTAAGGGATTTGCCCAAAGCCACTACTGATAAGGGCAAACTTTTATTATCTTTAGGTCCAAATGTTCTTTCTATCTCATCTCACTATTTTCTTCCAAAAATATTAGATAAACATAATGGCAAGAGTTACATTTCTAGAGATTGTCCATATTTTGTAGTGAATTTAGTAATTTAAATTAAACTATTTCAAATAGGTGAAGGGAATACAGGTACTGCAGAGTCATCTTTTTCCCAAGAGATTCCTAGAGAACAGCAACCATCATCAGCGTCAGAAAGACACACTCCTCGGGCACCTCAGTCACCAAGACGTCCACCACATCCACTTCCCCCACGACTGACCATTCATGCTCCACCTCAAGAATTGGGACCACCAGTTCAGGTACTAATCATTCAGAACAATGACCTTGAGTAAAATCTTGTCCTTTTTTCTGCTCTTTTTCATTAGCTTTTACGTTTTGTTGAGAAACTAAATGAACTTTGAAAATACTTTTGGCAGATTTTTATACAATTGCATAAACTGAAGCTAATCTCCCCCCCCTTGGAATATGGTAGTAATTTACTTTCAAAATTAGAGTAACTTTTAGGAAGATAAGGCATTAAAGTAGCAAATTATTTCCAAGGGTTCAAGAAGGAAAATATTTTCTTTTAGCAGAAGTTTCTCCTTCTTTCAATCTGGACTCTTACCTCTTAAACTATCTGTATAACATGCTGTCCGTAGTGATTTCAGAAGCCTGTTAGGAGGGGCTGTTCCTTAGAGTCAGCTGTTACTCAAACAGACAAGCCAACAGCTAAAAGTCAAAGAGAAAATTGAAGATTTTGATCAAGTTTTATATTTTGAAATTGAGCAAACTTGCAGTCAAGGTACATTAATAATAATTAGTGATTGTAATACTGCAAAAGTTGGAAGCCGTGAAGAAGGAAGGGTAGTTAGAAAAGTACATACTTGGTGATAGAAATAAGGCTAAAAATAGAATGATTGCATTCTGCACATTCAATGATATTTTCATTGCAAATACCTTTTGGAAAAACAAATGGCAACTATATTACATGGACCTCACGAGATGTGCAGCATAGGAATTAGATTGATGACATCTGGAATATTTAAAAGCTCAGTATTAGCAGTCAGAACCAGGCCTCGTGTTAACTGTGGAACAAACCATCAGTTACTCATTTGCAAGTTCAGATTGAAGCTGAAGAAAATTTCTTCTAAAACAAGTTCACAAAAACCAGAATACGCTGAGTCTTCCCTCCCAAATTTAAAAATTATCTTAAGAATAGGTGTGAAGCTCTGAATTCCAGTGACCAAAAACCAGATAAGTTGTGGGGTGATAGCAAGAAAATAATCCATGAAGAAAGCAAAAGATGACTAAGGAGAGAAAGGAGAAAGAAAAAAACAAAATGGATTTAGAGGAAACCCTGAAAGTTGCACTAAGGCTCAAGAAACTAAAACAAAAAGAAGAGATGTAAAAGAACTGACCAGAGGAGTTAAAAAGGCAGCACAGGAAAAAACAATTATAACAGTATGCATATAATGAAATTGGAGAACAAACAGGGAAGAACTCACTCAGCATTTCTAAAGCTGAACTGAAAAACAAATGCAAGCCTCATTGTGCAATATATTTAAGACATACTATGGGTAAAATCTTGAGCGATACAGAAAAACTTTAAAAGAAGATGGAGAGAATATACAGAATCACTGTACCAAAAAGAATTGGATGACACTAAAATATTTCCAGAATGAACAAGATTAGGAGCCGGTGGTAATGAAGGAAGAAGTCCAAGCTTCATTGAAGGTACTGGCAATAAAAAAGGCCCCAGGAATTGATGGAATACTAATGACATGTTTCAGATTACAGATACATCCCTGGATATGCTCACCACTGAATGCCTGGATACTTGGAGAACAACTGCCTGGCTGGCTGACTGTCAGAGATCCATGTTTGTTCCCGTTCTGCAGCCTTCAAAATGTATTGCATCTCAGTGTCAGGAAAACAAATCCTTGCCATTCGGCAACATCATTATACATGGGCAAGATTGAAACAAACTGTCAACAACTTCATCTTACTTGGATTTACAGTACAAGTCCTAGCAGTCAGGAGATTAGGAGATGTATTGCCCTGGGAAAATCTGCAATCAGGGTTCTCCTCAAATTACTGAAAAGCAGTGATGTTAGTTGGAAGATTAAAGTGCATCTGATTCAGGCCTTTTCAGTGACTTGCTGTGCATGTGAGAGCTGGTCAGTGAATAATGATGACAGAAGAAGAATTGGTGACTTTTATCTGTAAATATCCCATGGCCTGCCAATAGCACAAACAGGTCTTGGAGAGGATGCAGCCAGAGCACTCTGTGGAGACAAATATGATAAAACTTTGTTGTGCATACTTCAGGTACGTTACTAGAAGTTACTCTTTGGAGAGGGATGTCATGCTTGAAAAGGTGGAGGAGAGACAACAAAAGAAGAAAAAAAAAAGACCCTCCTAAGTGGACTGACCCAGTGAGTGCAATAGCAGGCTTGAGTGTGTCAGAAATTGTGAGGATGGTACAGGATAGGACAGGGTTCAGACCTATTGTTCATAGGGTCACTGTGAGTCACACTCAACAGCACCTAACGACAGCAATAAGCCCAAAAGTATGTGAGAGAAAGCTTCATCATCCTTGCCTCCAAGGAGCACCTTAGCTGTACTATCGCCAAGACTTACCTGTTTTGTTATTTTGGGAGTCCATGGGATATTCGTGGATGCCAACCCAAATAAGCTATATTTATTATCCCTGACATTTGGGGGTTTGTCTGATTCCTTATCATTCTTTTTTTTTTTTTTTTTTTTAATACACAGAGAATTCAGATGACCCGGAGGCAATCTGTAGGACGTGGGCTTCAGTTGACTCCAGGAATAGGTGGCATGGTAAATATTTATCTCTGTGGGTGATTTTAATTTGTGGCCCTCAGGCCTGGTTTAAAGTGGTCTTTGTCAAACATTCTTCTAAGTGTTATAGCACAGGTCTGTTCATTGGTGTTCAGAGGTAACTCATGGTTGCTGTGATGGTAAATACTGTGACACTGATGTGCCAAATGTGATAATGGTTATCCATGGTGGACAGTGTTTTGTGGAGCTTCCCGATTAAAACAAGCTTGCAAGCAGGAGTGGCATCCACTTCCGAAATGGCTTGCCTCCAGAAACTGTATGAACCTGGAGAAATGACTAAACATACAGGTGTTCAGGTTTTTTGTTCATAGGGTCACTGTGAGTCATCTGTGACTCAGCGGCACTTAACAGCAACGTCATCTAAAGGTGATTCATTTTTCAGCAGATACTTGTATAATGAATATCAGTTCTCCTCTTTTGCCTACTTAGCTCTTATTTTTTGTCTTGGTTTTAGCAGCAGCATTTTTTTGATGATGAAGATCGAACAGTTCCAAGTACCCCAACTCTTGTGGTGCCTCATCGTACTGATGGGTTTGCTGAAGCAATTCAGTAAGTTAAAGGGAAACTGTTTAGTGACTAATTAAATGGTTCTGTTGCCTTGTTTATTAATTCATTGCTCAATTGTTGAGTCTGCCTATACTCTGTAGTTAGCATTTAGAGTAGAAGGATTGCTAATTTATTATTGGGGAAAATTACATAGGAGTGAGTAAAATAAGTTATTCATATCTGGAATTTGTTACTTAAAGTCAATATAACTGATGAAGATCTAGTTTAAGCCTAATTCTGCCTCTAGTGTTAATTATCTACTAGAGGTCACAGAACCATGAAATAACAATTTTTTATTTCAAACTAGGCAATCTCTCTTTAGAACCTATATTATTCTTTTCTACTGAATTGCATATATGCTTTGTCTTCGAGGATAATAAGCAGAGAACTAAGAATAAATTATTGTACATATACATATCAAAGTACATGTTTAGTCTGTTGGCTGATAATTCATCCAGTGTACTCAGAATAAAAGTTTATGCTAATTTGAGGAGAAAATGAATTGTTTTTGAACTATGGTAGCATGTCACCATCAGAACAAACATTAAATTTGCTAGTTAGCCAGACATAGCTCATCTCAACTCTATGTGTGAAGGGTCAGCTGCTTTTCAAAATTAGTCCAATTAGTTGGAACTAACTCCAACAAACACACTTTTCACCTGTAAATTTCTAAAAATTGCCAATACCCTGAGTTTGAAAATCTTATATAAGGTTAGCGGTAACTGTAACTTTAATGTGTTCATTTCATATATTGAGTTTTCGTCTCATCTGATAGGAAAAGTTGAATGGACCCTAACAGCAGTGCCTTGAGGAGACCAAACTCAATTGGTTCCTACTCAGAGACACTCCTTATAGGATTTCTTGGGCTGTAAATTGTAATGGAAGGAGTCTGTCCATCTTTCTCCTTCAGAACTGCTGGTAAATTTGAACCATGAGAGATTGCCAGCCTTTGGGTTAGCAGTGCAACTTGCTGTGGACCAGTGCTCCTCTTGAGAATATAAATAGAGGAGAGTTTTTATTGTTTTTAGGAAGCAGGGGTCCACATAGCAAGTTCGATGCATAGCTCAAGAGAGTTTGGTGCCCAGGGTGGAGCTGGATAGGAGGATGGTGTGTTTAATGAGTACTTACTGTCCTCCTCCTCCCCATGTAGAGCTGGGATGATGGGACCTAGGTATGCCTGCACAAAGGCTCCCATTTATCCCAGGACCAGCCTGTGCTCTGGCTGTGACAGCACCTCACAAAGCTCTCCACTCAAACCCTCTCTCATCTCTGTTATGATATTTCTGGGCGCACATTTAGCCACAAGGAACTCTACCACTCTCAAGCCCAATTGTGAGGTGACTCAAAGTAAATGCATATGTTAATTTGCTTATTTTTTTGTTTCTGTGATAATTTCAGACTCTATCCAAGATGATGTAACAATGCCGTATACCTTTATTATATATAGATATTTACAGGTAATATTTTTAGGCTACTGAAAGAGTAAATGAGGCTGAAATTTTACTTCCTCTGAAAGTGATACCAGGTGTTTGAGATAAACGTGTGAGCATGCTATGCCAGAGCTTTTATATATATATTATTAATTTCAGTGGGCATTTACAGAGATTTTGGATTTCCATTCATTCATTGGTGCACTTTTCTCCTCGTCCACCCCCCACCACCCCCAGGTCACTCTTCTCTTTGAAAAGTAAAAGAAAAATTCTTTCATTGGTATACAGTCCTCCCACACCCCATGCCAGAGCTTTTTGTCCTCCCACACCCCATGCCAGAGCTTTTAAACAAGTTTTGTGTACATTATCCATGTGAATTTGCTGTTTGCAGAAATATTTACAGTAAATTTAGTAACTACTTTTAAAAAATGTATTCACTTAGTTCCCCACAGGTTGCTGGTGTTCCAAGATTCCGCTTTGGGCCACCTGAAGATATGCCACAAACCAGTTCTAGTCACTCTGATCTTGGTCAGCTTGCTTCTCAAGGAGGTAAAAAGCTAAATAAAATTCATAGATTGCCTCAATTTGTGTATATTCCTTATTTTCTAAAATCATGATTATAAATACAGAAACAGCTACATAATTCCTGTTATTTTATGGAAAAAGTAAAAATATGCTTATATACCAGTCTTATTTTCCCAACAAAGTTCAGAGTTCTTGAGTACTGGATTTCATGTTTTTTATAACTTTGGGGTCCTAGTGTAATTAGTACATGTAGTAGATATTTAGGAATAATTCTTGAGCCAGTAAATGCTCATAGGACAACTAGGTAGTACAAACTATAGCACTTGGCTACTAATAGAATGGTAGGCTGTACAAATGCACCCAGAGACGCTTGAGAAAGAAGAATTAACAATCATCTTCTGAAAAAGATCACAGCCTAGGGACAGTTCTACTCTGAAATACCTGAGATAGCAGTGAGTCATAATCAACTGAAAGACATTCAGTTAACAGATTGAAAGTGTAAGAAAAATTAGTAATATTTTGGATTAGTATCAAAATGATATCTCAGGTAAATAAATCTCTTTGTAGAATTTTTAATTCTAATATGATATCCATAGAATTTACAGTCTTTCTGAGAAGCTGTCTCATATTTTTTAGGAGGGGCACATAATAGTTTTTTGAAAATCAGACAAAAATTTATGACTTTAATTAAAGTTAATAGAAATGTATACTGTTACCTGGTTTCCAGGAGGTTACTCCTATTATAGTAAGCCTCTTACTGATAAGAAATTTTAAATTGACTTCTTATCAATTCCAGCCTTACGTGATGCCATATTAGTAGGGCATGGGAGTCAGAATTAGACTTAAATTGAATGTCATCATGCAGTAGTTTTGTAACCTTGGGAAAGCTTTTGACCATTTAAATAGTTTTTGAGGGATCTATACTTTTTTTAGAGCAAGAATTTGAATTACAACTTATAGGACATTGTTTGGGACTGTAACATTGATCTCTGTGTCTCCACTAGTTTTTTCAATTTAATGACCCTATATTTTATTAAAGAAACTATGTATTGCAATAAATATTGAAACCAAACCTGTTGTCATTGGGTCATTTCTGACATCTGGAACACAATGTATTGCAGGGTAGAAGTACTCCATAGTAACCTTGGGTAAATTCATTAAACCTGCTTGAATTAGTTTCTTTTATGCTTAAAGCTCACCTCAGCTCAGAACCAACTCAGAGCTGACCCTTTCTTGGATTTCCAAGATTTTAAGTCTCAGAAGGAGATTGCCTGTCCTTCTCCCAAGGAAGCCACTGGATTCAAACTGCTAGAGAATCATGACCTTTGGTTTAGCAGTCAACTCTGTACAAGCTACACCACTAAAGTTCCCTTTAAGTCTAAAAGAAGGATGATCATACTTACCAGGTTTGGTAAGGAATAGAATCTAGCCTGGCTTTCCTCACTCACTCATTGCTATAAAGTCAAAATTGACTGATAAGCTGATCCTCCAGTGGTTTCCACGGCTGTAAAATCACATGAAAGGTTGTCCATCTTTCTCCTTCGGCATGAATGGCTGATTTGAACTGCCAGAGAAGTAAGGCCTTTTTGTTAGAGTGCAGCTTTCTATGGACTATGCCAGTGTAGCTCCCTAACATAGTTCAGTACCTACTAAAGTTATTTTGTATGAAACTATAAAAAAAGCATTTTTAGCTGACTTTGAAAGGTGTTTCAGTTAATGTTAAGGTAGCTTAACATTTATCAGGTCTTTTCAGAGCATGGAAAATAAGTTCTGGACATCAACAAAGTTAAGAATTTGGTGATTAATGGGGCTTTTTTTCTTTCACATAACATTAATGATCTTGTTTCTTCTAGTGACTAATGTCCAACATTGTCTCTAGGTTTAGGAATGTATGAAACACCCCTCTTTTTAGCTCATGAAGAAGAGTCTGGTGGTCGAAGTGTTCCCACTACTCCTCTACAAGTTGCAGCCCCAGGTAGGTAGCAGAGACAGATTTGGGATATTATGTTTTATTGGTAAGATAGGAACCTGTGGAATATCAGCTGTCTAAAAATTGAAGAAACTTCAACATTAAAATATTGGGTTTGTTTGTCTTTATTTTGAAGTGACTGTGTTTACTGAGAGTGCCACTTCTGATGCTTCAGAGCATGCCTCCCAGTCTGTCCCAATGGTAACAACATCCACTGGCACTTTATCCACAACAAATGAAACGGCAGCAGGTGATGACGGAGATGAAGTATTTGTTGAGGCAGAATCTGAAGGGTAAGTGTTTACTCTTAAGTTTTACTTTCAGCTACACATTGTATATTAAAGTCAGGAACAATCTCTTCAGCTGTGATTCAATACGGATTAAAGCTTCAACATCAAGAAAACAAGAGTCTCACCACTAGGCCATCAGTATGGATGGTGAAGGTACTGAAATAGTTAACAGTTTTGGTTTGCTTGGCTCCACATTCAACACTTTTGGTACCAGCAACCAGGAAGTCAAGAGACAAATTGCTTTGGGAAAGTCAGCTGTCAGGGACCTCTCCAGAGTACTGAAGAGCAATGACATCAGTATGGAGACTAAGGTGTGCCTGATGCAGGCTACAGTCTTTGTAATTGTGTGCTATGCAGCAGAGAGTTGGACAGTGTTAGGGATGATAGAGAATTGATGCCTTTGAGCTGTGGTGCTGGAGAACAGTGTTGAATATACAATGGACTGCTAGGAGAACGAATAGGTTTGTCCTGGAGAGGGTGAAGCCAGGCTGCTTCTTGGAGTCAAAGATTCTGAAGCTTCATCTAACGTACTTTGGGCATGTTGCAAAAAGGGACTGGTCCTTGAAGAGGGACATCACAGGAGAGGAAGGAAGATCCTCAATGAGATAGATCGATTCAGTGATTGGGGTAGTGGGGTAGGTGTGTTGACAATGAGATTGGTATAGAATAGAGCAGGATTTAGGGCTCCTGTACATAGGGTCTTTAGGACTCGCAAGCTACTCGATGGCACATAACCACTATGTAAATTTTATGGCAAGGGAGTTCTGGTGGACTAGTGTAAGAAGCCATTGCTGCAGTCCCGAAGAAACACAATTCAGAGCCATCAGTTGCTCAACAGGAGAAGGATGAAGTCTCCTCCCATGCAATTAACTGCCTCTGAAAACCTGCTGGAGGGTCAGCTATGGGTCAATTCTGACTCTGTGGTACACAACAACAATATATTTTAGGACTTGGCAATTATATGTATATATAAATACAGCATGTTAATATGCTAAAACTGAGAAGTCCAAGAGTATTGAACATACCATGGCTTGCCAGGAATAAGAATAGTTCTGTTCTGGAGAGGATAAAACAAGCTTGCTCTCTAGAGGCAAGGATTTTGAAGCTCTATCTCACGTACTTTGGGCATACTGTCAGGAGCAACCGCTCCATGGAGAAGGACATTATGCTTGGAAGGGTGGAAGGGCGGTACAGGAGAGGAAGACCCTGGATGAGATAGATTGACATAGTTTACTGGGGTAATAGGAGCAAATGTGTGGGAGGCAGTGAGATTGGTTCAGGATAGGACAGAGGGCAGAGCTGTTGTACATATACGGTCACTATGAATCATGACTTGAGAACATGTAACAACAACAGTAATGTATGATAAAAAGTTTTCATCGAAATTTGGAACAAGTTCAGTATTTATTGTCGTCACAGCAAAACAAGCATCCGTACTGTTCCCTTCTTTCAGGTGACTTGTGCTCTGTGCCTAATGAAAAACAAGCATGTCAGTATTATGGAAGACAGGACATTAGAAACCATCATGGCCATGAAAATTATGGGCTATATTCTAGAGTTAAATATTTTTTTAAAATGCACCAGATACTTTTCCATTAATGTAGCTAGCTACTTGAACTTCCCCACCCCCAAACAGAAGCTTTTTTTGGAAAAATTGGGAATATTAGGAAATGACTCACTTTCCATTTAGTAGTAGACTTTCATGTGATCCTTGCTCCTTATTTATGTGCAGTTAAGACTTGTAGTGTCAGAGAAAGTTTGTTGTTTTTTTAAATGAAAGATTATCTAGATTTTAAGTCAAAGTAAGGGAAAGGGAAAAACCTTTAGACAGTGGTCTTGGAGAATTTTTAAATTTTAAAGTGGACCTTATTTTTCTAAAATAATCTGGCTACCCTGCATAGCTAGAAGTAAACTCCAGACCTTCTACTTTATTTAGGTACCTTTTCTATAGAATAATTACAGGCCAATTCTTTGGTAGGTAGTAGGCAAAAGCAGATTTGTTCTTATCTAACAGTAACCACTGCCAATGAGTTGATTCTGGCTTAGGGCAACCGTATTAGGACAAGAATTGTTGATTGCCACTGAGTCAAACACGACTTATAGCAACCCTACGAACAAAAGACCTGAAGCCTTTCAATACTATTGTTTCTGAAAGTTCATAGAGTTTCCAGAGGCATGTTGTTTAGGAAGTGGATGCCACTCCTGCTTCCAGGACAAGATTACAACTCCTAAAAGTATTACCTCTGTTTTTCTAATGAGAGCATTCTGGCTGAGACAATGTTAAAATAACTCTCTTAGGGTGTGTACATCAGGGGTAAGTAAAACGGCATAGTGTGGGAAGTCTAATACAAACTGTTTACTGATAATTGGAACAGAAGCAAGGTAATCTTGTACTCAGCACCTAGCACAGTGCCTGATGCATGGTAGGAACAGAGCAAATATTTATTAAATTAGCTGGTAACTCACAAATCTCAAACTCTTCACCAGTGAGTTGGAATCAAAGCATAGCTGACCCTATTGTGGTTTTCTGGAAGCTACACCTCTCACAAGAGATAACCTGTCTCTCTTGAAGAGCCCCTGGTGGATTTCAACCACCAAAGGGGCACTGACTTTGGGTTAGCAACACGTTACTTGTGGACTGCAACATCAGAACTACCTAAATTAGTTGGTAGATAAATGGGGGGGGAACGGGGTTGGAAGACAATATTTCGTCTTATAAATAAATTATAAATTGTTCTATACTTTTTGGTCAAATGTTTTAGTAAACAGAAATTTAACCACTGAAAGCAAATGGACTCTTGGATTTTATCAGTGTTTTCACTTAGAAATTAGTTTGGGGCATTAATGCTACTCTTTCGTAGACATCCTTCTGAAAGGTGAAGTTAAAGCTTTTACGTCAGAAACTCCAGAAAATCACATCCTGTTTCATCTGAACTAAAGCCCGTGATGAGATTGCACTGCATTCCTAAAAACACACAATTCAACTTCACCAGCTGCTCCACAGAAGGATGTGTGAAGTCTCCCCCCTTGCATTTGACAGCCTCTAAAAACCCACTGCAGGGTCAGCTATGGGTTGGTGACGAATTGGTGATACACAACCACAATAAAAATAGCCCAAAAAGTAGTAAAACTAAAGTTGGAACAAGTCTTTGTGAGAACCTCCTTGAGCTTTTTTTTTTCTCCTTCCTCTTTAAAAGAATTTTTTTAAATATTGAAGTATATGATTTTGAGTTGATGGAAAGATAGATCTAGGTTGTATAAAATGATAGCCTATGTCATAAATTTTGGGAACACTTTAGGAAACATTCTAGAAGAATCAGTTATTTGCTTAATCAGTCTCTATTTTCCTCTTAGTATTAGTTCAGAGGCAGGCCTAGAAATTGATAGCCAGCAAGAAGAAGAACCTGTTCAGGCATCTGATGAATCGGATCTTCCTTCTACCAGCCAGGATCCTCCATCCAGCTCTTCTGTAGGTAAGTTTCTGTGCTTAGCTACCGTACAACTTTGATGCCTTAAACTTACATGCACAGACATTTGTTTTATTAGTAGCAATTCATTGTTTTCCCTTCCCCCAAATTTTGAAAAAGGGATGTTTCATTTTAAGAGCAGTTAGACTATTTTGGCAAGATAGGAAGCCATTCTGGAGAGCTTTTAACAGATAATTATAATGATAAAGTTTAATTGTCAGGTATAGAATAGACTGAAAATGAGTGGTGCTGGGTAGAAAGTTGAGCTTTCAGAAACTATTGAAGAAATGTAAAGATTATGAAGACCAAAGTGGTCAGAATTGAGCTGTGTTTTAAAATTGGCAAGATTTTCTAGTGAATTGGCTGTGGAGCATCTGAAGAGTAGTACTCAAGTATGCTTCATGGTATTTGACCTTCCCCTGAGGGTCACAACGTAACATGGTAGGCGCTAAGTTAGTATTTATTAGTTGGAGCATAAGTGAACAAAGTCAAGCATTTATTTTCCAAATAAGGAGGTTTTTTCCTTACATCATACTTTTGTGTTAGATATTTGTCACTGTTTTTATAATTCTTCCTGCTAAGATTAATAGCAGACTATTTATAAGAAGTCTCAGGTCATCATAGTTCCAAACAAATGCTTAATCATCTGTATGTGTCCAGGTTCACCCGTGGCTCAGTTCCCCAGTTTCTCTATGGCCATTGGGAGACTCAGTGCAGTCAGAGAAATGACTCGTGCTTGTAGAAAATACAGGCTCCTTTTGGAGAAACTGGTGAGCAGTGGTCCAGAATCCTGTAAACTGTCACTTGTGGCACAGCTAATATATATGGTGACTGTGAGTGATGCACACTGGTGGTGTAGATACTGGTGAGCAGCTGGAATCTATGACTCATGGTCTCCTGATTTTATATAAGCCTCTAGTAGGATGGTGCTTGTATCCCATGCGAATTTTCTCTCATTAATACAGTAATTACTTCAGAAAAATAAACAGTTAATCATTGCCTGGAAAAGACATCTGAATGGTGAACTTTAGATACCTAGAGTCAATGTTTTTAAAAATAAGCATTTAAATACTGAAAGTAAATGGGCACCTGGGTTTTATCTATGATTTTATTTGGTAATTTTGTCATTACAGCTGCTTTATTTTTTAACTTATTCTTGTGTTGATGATCATTTACAAGTATGTTCAATTTTTTTCCTTTTTAGATACTAGTAGTAGTCAGCCAAAGCCTTTCAGACGAGTAAGACTTCAGACAACATTGAGACAGGGTGTCCGTGGTCGTCACTTTAACAGACAGAGAGGTAAATTTCCAGTATCCTAATGACATGATAAAATGTAGGCTGGTTGATATGGACCAATTTCCTAATACTTAAGCATTCAACCCATGGCCATGTTCAGTTTGTAGAATAAGCTCCAAGGGATCAAATTAAAACTAGCAACTTGAAAGTTTAAGAAAGGAAGCTTAGGGGCAGTGAGTTTATGTTGCTAAGGGAGGAACAGCGCAGAAAAGGAGAGGGAGAATGGTTGCATAACCATTTGCTAAGATTTGGGAAATCTGAAGTGTTAAGTGTTGCCTTATTTGCATTTGTTATATTCCTACCGGAATAGATACTCCTCTAAATCTGAACATTCAGATTAAGACAGACTAGGAAGAAGGATTGGCCACCCACTTCTGAAATAGCAGGCCTCTGAAAACCCTATGCACAACAGAACACACGCAGATTAACAGAAAGGGCAACCTAGGTAGAATTATCTAGGTAGAACTGTTATATCTGCTGTTAGGGACCTCTCAAAGGTATTCAGGAGCAACAGTGTCTCTCTGGAGACTAGGGTGCGCCTGATACAGGCCATGGTCTTTGCATTCGCTTGTTATGCATCAGAGAGTTGGACAATGACTAGGGAGGACAGAAGGAGAGTGGATGCTTTTGAGCTGTGGTGCTGGAGAAGGGTACTGAATGTACCATGGACTGCCAGGAAAACAAACAGATTCATGTTGGAGAGGATTAAACCAAGCTACTCCTTGGAGGCAAGGATTCTGGGGCTTCGTCTGACATACTTTGGACATGTTGCTAGGAGGGACGGGTCCTTGGAGGGGGACATCATGCTTGGGAGGGTGGAGGGACAGCGCAGGAGGGGAAGACCCTCTATGAGATGGATTGATTCAGTGACTGGGGTAATCGGGATGGGTGTGTCAGAGGCGGTGCGGTTGGCGCAGGATAGAGCAGGGTTTAGGGCTGTTGTGCATAGGGTCGCTATGAGTCGGAAACGACTCGACGGCACATAACAACAACAATATTCCTACCTTCAATGTCAGGTTGTTGGTACCTTTTTATATGCTCAAATAAAATTAACTTGTTTTGCTAGTTTTTTAAAAAGGTAAAATTTTAGTCTCTGTATTCTCCGATGTAACCATTAGAGATTGCCTTCATATTAAAAAAATACTAATCTAATTGCTGTGTAATGATTTCCACTGAAAATACAGAATTATCTAACAATTTTATATCCATTGTATCTGGCATATATTTGATTCTAAAACGTTTTTATGACGAACATAGAGAAACTCTATACCTAGCTTTTGAGCTAACTTCTTAAAGCATGCATTCGATTTGATTCTTGTCTTGTTTTGTTTTTTTTTGTCTTCTAGGAATGAGCCATACAATGGGAGGGAGAGGAGGACTAAATAGAGGAAATATTAATTAACTGTTCTAGAAACTCTAATTAATTGTGAATAAAGTTGTCCACTCTGTTTAGTGTTATTTTCAAGCTTAAGTCATTTTTTTATTTAAATTGGTATGCTTCTATCAACATTCTTTATTAATAAAATATATTTCAGTGTCAAAACTGATTGTGTTTTCATTTTGATTGGTTGACGACTCTTTTGCTCATTTAAGGGCAGTTGTACCACACTTTGGAGAGGGTCTGCCCAGAACGTGTTGTAACTGCTCTTGCTGTTCTGCTGGGCACATCAATGTTGTAGTATTGATCTAAAGAGAAGAGAAGTAATTTGTGTTTATTATGCTCAAAAACAATACTCATTGTTTGAGTATTAAGAAATATGTTTATTAATATAACTTCCTGATAAGTTACCTTTGACTGTACTTTTTAGTATCTTTCAATAAAATTAGGCTCTCCTTTTTTTAAAGTAAGTATTAAAGAATAACCCAACTATTTTTAAAAATAATTGTATTTGGATTTTAACCTTCTTCATGAATATTGCTGATTTCATTTAGCATTATGCAGAATAACTTTGATTCCTAGACTTCTGTTCCACTCCATCCCCACTCCTCTTCACTCCCACCCCTAGTGTAAGAAAAGTATCCTTGGTAATATAATTTTAACTAAGAAAATTATTTTTTTTCAGGAAACACTTTATAACTTGAGAGATTGCAGGATGATAACCAAGTAGTATGACTTTGTAGCAAACCAGGCATTTGTTATGTGTCAGTCACAGATACTCTTTTCAATCATAGTTTTAGGTAAATAATTAAATATTTACCTTAAAGGACCATGTCACTTGAAAGACAGCAAAATCTGCCATTCCCATCAGTTATAATTGTAATTAAACAAAAATCTATCTCCTGTCCAGAGTGGTTAGAATGAATGGATTAGCCTAACTTCTCACTTTTAGTAACCATTTTGTGGTTTTGTTTTGTATATTCTTGGTCCAAAAGGTAGATCATGGTCTTTGGGAAACTAATGAGATATTGCTTAATAATTTACCTTTAGAAAAGGCATAGTAATCATAGCCATCGGGTTTTCTGATGTTGGGCAGTGATATAGCTGAAGTAACCACATTTGGAAATCCTCTCCACAGTGTGCTCACTTTAACTTCATTATGAAGAAAACCTGTAGATGACATTTTTAAGTGAACATTTCAGATTAAAAGGCAACCTATTACATTGAGGAAAACAGCTTTTATAGTCAGACCAAGCCAATCCAGTCCACTGCCATCAAGAAAGTTCCAACTCGTAACAACCTTAAGAACTGCCCCTGGGTTTCCAACGATGTGAATTTATGGAAACAGTTGGCCTCATCATTCTCGCTTGGAGGCTGGTGAGTTAAAAACCACCACCATTTGATTAGTAGCCAGGTGCTGCTGTCAACTGCACTACCAACGCTCCTTTATAGAGTCAGGTACATGGGTTTTCATTTCATTTTGTAACTTTTACCTTGGGTGCCTCGTTTTTTTTTTACCTCTCTGCTAATGGCCATAATATCTTTTGTGACTGTTTAGAGGGTTACACAATTGTATTAACTTGTCTAGAAAGAAAAAAACCCAGTGCCATCAAGTTGGTTGCCATCCATCGTAATTTTTCATTGGATTTCTAAGGCTATAAAACTTCAGTGGAGAAGACTGCATATCTTTCTCTCGAAGATCAGCTAGTAAATTTAGACTGCTGACTCGTTAGCAGTACAAAACATATTTATCACGTTACTCCAACAGAGCTCCTTAACAAAACTCGTATAAATGGCATTCTTCACCAGCAGAGAGAAAGTTTTGCTTTGGTCATTAACTCAGTCTCATCGATAGCATTTACATCAGTGTTTTTATTAGGATTTATAATTAATAATTTTTATGCTGTTAAATATTGGACAGCCACTTCTTATGTAAAAATCTCTAATAAAAATAAAATTACCTTTGTCTTGGTAAACGACTCTACTGGGTGATAAGTGAATCCTGATGGTATGTGTTTGAGAAGGTCCTATAGCTCGCTCAAAACGACGACGCCTAACCTGTGTCATTTCTCCATACACTGGATAATTGATCGCAGGCCTCCGTCCAGTACACTTTCTGGCAGGCTCCTGTTTATAAGTATACTGTTGAATGTTGCCACCTGTTATGAGCCAGAAAATCATATTAATAGGAATATAATTTTAATTCCTAAAAGGAACATGTGAGCATTTTACAAGTCGGAGGGAAATGTAAGTTTTTCATAAAATTTTCTGCATTATTACTTAGGATCGTTGTTGTTTTTATGTGCCTTTGAGTGGCTTGCAACTCATAACGACCCTGTGTACAACCACTCAACCCTACCCTGTCCTGAGCCAGTCTCATTGACTAAGAACACCTACCCCTTTTCCCCAATTACTCTTATCAATGCATCTCATCCAGGGTCTTCCTTTCCTGCACTGTCCCTCCACCCTCCCAAGCATAATGTCCTTCTCCAAGAAGTGGTTCCTCCTGACCACGGGTCCAAAGCATGTTAGCGCTTCAAAATCTTAGCCTCAGGAGAAATTAGGTTTCACCCACTCCCAGACCTATTTGTTTTATTGGCAGTCCATGGTATGTTCAAGTCTCTGCAGCACCGACAACTCAAAGGCATCAACTCTCATTTATAATTTGCATTACACAGATGACACAACCCTGCTTGCTGAAACAGGACCTGAAGTGCTTGCTGCAGAAGGTCAAGGACTAGAAAAGATTATCACCACAAGGCCAATTGGCAACATCATGATAGGTGGTGAAAAGATTGAGATTGTTAACAGCTTTAGTTAGCTTGGCTCCAGAAAATTAAAAATAGAATTGCATTGCGAAAGTCTGCTGTCAGGGACCTCTCCAGAATTGCTCCACAAGAGCAAACGTGTCAGTCTGGAGACTTAAGGTGTGCCTGATCCAGGCTACAGTTTTCACAATTACTTCCTTTGTGTTAGAATGCTGGACAATGACTAGGGATGATAAGAGAATTCATGCCTTTGAGCTGTGCTGCTGGAGAAGAGTATTGAATATACCATGAATGGCTAGAGAACAAACAGGTTTGTCTTGTTGTTATGTGCCATCGAGTAGTCTGTGACTCATAGCGACCCTGTGTACAACAGCCCTAAACCGTGCTCTATCCCGTGCCAATCTCATTGCCTCCGACACACCCATCACGATTACCCCAGTCACTGAATCAATCCACCTCATAGAGGTCTTCCCCTCCTGTGCTATCCCTCCACTCTACCCAGCATGATGTCCCTCTCCAAAGACCTGTCTCTCCTTACAACATGTCCAAAGTATGTCAGGCGAAGCCCCAGAATCCTTGCCTCCAAGGAGCAGCCTGGTTTAACCCTCTCTAGGATGAATCTGTTTTCTTGGCAGTCCATGGTACATTCAATACTCTTCTCCAGCACCACAGCTCAAAGGCTTCTTCTATCCTCCCTAGTCATTATCCAACTCTGATGCATAACAAGTGATTGCAAAAACCATGGCCTATATCAGGCGCACCTTAGTCTCCAGAGAGAGACTGTTGCTCTTGAGTACTTTAGAGAGGTCCCTAACCGCAGACTTTCCCATCGCAATACGTTTTTTGATTTCCTGGCTACTGGTGCCAAGTGTGTTGACCGTGGAGCCGAGCAAACTGAAGCTGTGAACACTCTCAGTCTCTGCCATCCATCCTGATGCTACCGATTGGTCAGGTGGTGAGAATTTTTGTCTTCTTGACATTGAGCCTCAGTCCATAGTGAAGGCTGCAGTCCTTGACCCTCTGCAGTAAGTGCATGAGGTCCTCCTCAGTTTCAGTGAGCAAAGTTGTGTCATCTGCATAACGCAGATTGTTGATAAATCGTCCACCTAGAAAGGGTTAAATCAGGCTGCTCCTTGAAGGCAAGGATTCTGAAGCTTTGTCTGACATAACTTTGGTCATGTTGCAAGGAGGGACCAGTACTTGGAGAGGGACATCATTCTTGGAGGGTGGAGGGACAGCGCAAGAGAGGAAGACCCTTGAGATAGATCGCTTCTGTGACGGGGTAATGAGGTAGGTGTGTGTGTCAGAGACAAAGTTGGCACAGGATAGAGCAGGTTTCAGAGCTATTGTACATAGGGTCATTGTGAGTTGCAAGCAACTCGACGGCATGTGACATCCTTAGTCATTGTCCAGCTCTCTGAGGCATAGTAATTGTAAGACCATGACCTGCTTCAGATGTCCTTCAGTTTCTAGACCGATACTGATTCTCAGGACTCTGGACAAGTCCCTGACAGCAGATTTTCCCAGTGCACTTTGTCTTAATTTCCCCGACTGCTAGTATCAAGAGTTGATTGTGGAGTCCAGCAAGCTGTGATTGTTAACAAGCTCAATCTTAACCATCTATTACAGTGTTGCAAATTGGCCCAGTGGTGAGAATTTTTGTCTTCTTGATGTTGAGCTACAATGCATATTGAAGATTACAGTCCCTGACCATCTGCAGCAAATGCTTCCAGTCCTCAGTTTCAGCAAGCAGGGTTGTGTCATCTGCATCACATAGTTTGTTGATGAATCTTTCCTGCAATCCTGATGCCACATTCCTCCTCATAAAGCCGAGCCGCCCAAGTGATCTGCTCTGCAGATAAACTGAAAAGTATGGCAACAGGACGCATCCCTGATACACTCCTCATTTTGAACCATGAAGTGTTTCCTTGATCTGTTCTAAGGGCTGTTTCCTGGTCCAAGTATAGCTTGTGCAAGATCATTAGCCAAAAATTATTAACAAAAATGATTCCTAAGTCCTTAAGTGTTTGTTGAACCAAAAATTCCAAGTTATTGCAGAGATATGTTTAACTCTGAAAATAAATGACATCCTATTTTTCAGTGACCGAAGAGGAATAAGGTTTGCGTGTCCAAAGATAACTATAGTCAGTTTTCAAATTTTTTACCGAAAATGTTTGATCTACCCTTTAGAAATATCTTTGTCAGTAAACTCAGTAATAGAGGAAAATGTTGAATAAAAAATTCCCTGGAAAATCAAGAATTCTTAAAATTTTGTGAAATGTGTAATACCTACCTCTCTTGAAAAAATACACAGATTCAGGCCTGTTTTTGTATTTGGCTATCGAAAGAGCTGCTACTATTTTTCCATTTAGTCCTCCAAATCCTTTCACAATTTGTTTTGGATACCCTGCATCTTGAATATCATTGGTGAAACGCCAGTACTGAGAATCCTGGGTATTTGAAAGAGAAGATGATGTTAACATAGCAAAAATTACCTTGATTTTGATACAGGGTAAACTTTAAATTTGGTTGAATTTTTTAGTAAGTTGTTAATTCTACCAAATGTTTTCCTTTTGTGACTTCTTAGTAAGCTTTAATAATTTATTATAATATGTGAGCACTTTTAAAGTGGAAGTTAAGCAGAGACAGGTTGTCGGTTACTGAGTCTGAAACAAGCAATGAGTTGCTTCCATTACCTTAATGGTTTCCTTACCTTAAAGAAGAAGGTTTTTCCTTCACAGTTGCATCTAGTAAAAACAGTATCAATGGGGGAAGGAATACCCCAAACTTCAGTAATTCTGCGAGGTGGAGAGGGTGGCCTGAATGGGTTTAGCATCCAGAAATAATGACCTAAAATTTAAAAAGTAAATTAGTTGAAAACTAAAACCTACCCCTTAAGGAAACAAAATTAGCATTTTTAAAAGCAACTTTCAGGCAGCTTGAATGTGTTAAGCCTTAACTAGAAGGTTAAGTTGTACTGGATAGAACAAGATAGGATGTGAACATTTCTGAGAGTAGTGCTCATTTGAAATTTAACATAACCTTAGAAATATTTTCTCGTTTTCTCTAAAAAGAGCTTACAGTTTTGTAACTAATTGAAAGTTACCTCTCTGGGTTTCAGATTCTTTCAAAATTAAGGAATATATAATTAAATGACCAAGAAAATCTAGATGTGAGGCTAATTTGGTTATTTGGAGATTTAATGACTACATTTGAACTCTGGATTATCAAAAATACAGAAGAGTTAGAAAACATGAAATAACATCATTACATAGAATGTAACCCTTGAACACATAATCAGTATACAATTTTCAAATAAGATAGAATCAAGATAAATCTTGATTTCATATAATAGAAAAATTTGAACTTTTAATTCCTAAGGGAAAGAAAATCCTTACATCTGTTTAATTTTTAAAAATATATCTAATTGTCTTAATCTATTTTGATTCTTACTCGGGTTCTTATTGTGTAAGATAAACTCATCAGGTCACTCCTCCAGATAGCTTTGTTTCTCATAAATGTCGAGAATCCAATAGTGGGAAAGAAAAGAAACGTGGGCATAGCTCACCTCGGAATGCAACCATTGTCCCATTGTGCAAAGTAGTCAGGCCATCTACTGGCTTCCCATTGCATAAATCAGTCTCATCTAAAACAAATAATTGAAAATAAATTAGGCTATTATAATACATATGAAAAAAGTATTTGGCATTCTTTTAAAATTGCCTAGGCTTCCATTTCCCCAGTTTGAGGTGAATATTTTCCAGAAAACATTAGCACCCAGAAATAATGAAAACTGGGAGATAAAGTGATACAGATCAGATTTCTATATTACCTGAAAGTGAAAACTACCAAACAGAATGTTAAGTGCTATCGACTACAACTCACTCACTGCAGCCTTGTGAACAACAGATCAAGTGATACATGAAAACAAATCAATATGAACTAGAATGAGCCACGTTACCTTACTCTTCTTATAAGTTAGATCTTAGATGTTTTTAAAAGAAGATTTTTTTAAAAAATTCTGACCATCCTTTTTCTTGATTTGAAAAAGAACACAGCATTTCTTGGCATTGTATGTTTTAAGGTTTTAAGGGTAACTCCCAGGTAGCTTTATATATATGTACATGTGTGTGTATTCATACGTGTGTGTATAATATATGCCTTCTCTACTTTTATGAACATAAATGCTCTTAATTCCTAACAGCAGGCACTGGTTGATTTTTACTCAGTTTTATTAAAATGATTTAAGGTTACTATTATTACTCTTCTACTTACCTACAGAGAAATTAATAGAACTTCAAAAGTTCTTGGGTTTTACATCGTATCTCTCGGTAGAATGATACTTAGGGCATGTTGGCTCAGACAAAACTTAGCATTAAAAACTAAGAAATGTTGCTAGCATGTTGATCCCAACTCTAAACAGGTCTAAGTATTATCAGAACTTAACACAGAGGACCTGGGAAACTAGTGAAGTTTTGGCTTAAAGCCCAAGGGTGCAGATCATTGGGCCTTTCTTCCATGCCATCGCTGAGTAAATTGAACACCATCCTCTGTTAAGTAGTCAAGACTTTTTGCCACCCAAGGTCAGGATAATATTACCAGTTTTTAAAATGGGTATAACTTTGGTTCCCTTAGACTGTACCCCTTAGATATCTTTCAAGCCTGGAACTGAACTGACCACCAAAGCTCAGCTTAGGCTAATAAGGTGAACAATAGCCCATTCCTTAGAACAACTACTCATACAAGATGAAAAGGACAACATTCGCCCAGGGATATGGTTAGAAGGGATACAAAAGAAGCTGATTGGAACTAGTAAACATGAAGTGGGAAGAGAGCTGTTCCACTATAGGCTTGCAATCAATGCCATGTAATCCAAATGGTATAACTTGTTGAATGGAAAACTAGCTTCCTCTGTAAACTTTGACCTAAATAACTAAACTTTTTGTTTTTTTTAAAAAAAGAATATATGGTAGTGAGGAGAGACTTAGATGTTGAATTATGGTGATCGTTTTTTACTCTATTCTGAGCCAGCATTAGATTTAAAAAAGAAGAGGAAGAATATAACCACTGCTCCTTACCTGATAGCATGGGATTGGTGCTAATGCCTTGATAGGGTCCTCTCACTATGGAATCGATGCCTGAAATCACTAAAGGACGTGACACAGGGGGATTGGGAATCAGATGAAGATTTTCTCCTTCAGCAGCATCTTCATCTTCATTCTTTGGATTTACTTCAACTGTTTCTGAGTTTGGAGCTTGGTTAGGGTTGGTGGTGGCTTCAGCTAAAGAGGTAGGGCTCACTTCAGGTGTAGTTAATGGCGTCTTTGAGGGAGTTGGTGTAGTCTTTGGTTTTCTCACTCTAGGTGTTGTGTTTGGTTTTTTGGTAGAAGTAGGCTTTCTGGGCTTTTTAGGTGCTTTGGTGGGCTTTTTCGGTTTAGGAGTTGTGACTTTAGAATCAGTTACTGTGTCTTTCGGTGCAGCTGTTGTTTCTTCAGGCTTCTTGGTAGTCTCTTTTATTGCAGTAGTTACTTTGGGTGCTGTAGTTGTTGCTTTAGTAGTAGTTTTAGCTGTCGTGGTAACCTCAGTTGTAGTTGGCACTTGTCTGGTTGTGCTTGTAGTTTTAGATTCCGTAGTCTTGTCTTCTGTTGGAGTTGTGGGGTTTGGGGTTGTCACCTTAGGTGTAGCAGTTGTAATTTCAGGTGTGGTAGTCATTTCAGGTTTGGTCACTTCAGGATCCTTCATTGTAGATACAGAAGGCGCCTTGGGATTGTTTTCAGGAACCTTTGGTGTGGTTTCTTCAGGTACCTCTGGAGTTGGTTCAGCAGGAATCTTGGGGGTAGTGGGAGGAGAGGACTCAGAGGTGGTTGGAACAGGTGTCATTGAAGGTGGAGTGGGCCTCTTAGGGGTGGTGGGAGCCGTTTCTTTAGGAGTTGTGGGAGCAGGCTCCTCAGGGGTGGTGGGAACAGGTTCATCTGGGGTGGTGGGAGTAGTCTCCTTTGGGGGGGTGGTCTCTGGCTCTTTGTGGGGGGTGG